AGGTATTATTCTTTAAAGAAGGAGGTTCCTAAAAAGGTCCCTAAAGTCATATACCCATTTTGAGATACCATTTCCTGAAACAATTGACTCATAAGACACCGATGCTCCCAAAAGAATATATTATAGACACGACATCTCATGTACAGGAGGAGGCTTGATGTGCTAAGTATAGATGATGTCATCTAGACACCATACACTGATCAAAGAGTCCACAGTGAGTTCTATGAGTCTTTGTTATATTCAGGTTATATGTAGTGGGAGACGATGGTTGCTAGACACTTGTTTGAGAGGTGTCTGCGACAATATGATTATGTTCAGCGTATCCCACGAGCAGTTCTAGATATACCATCTGCGGACATTGATTGGTGATTTCAAAGTAACTTCATCAACTCTGGTCATGTCATTAGAGATCGAGCGATTGCGGTTCAACATCCGTTACAGTGTGAGGTTGGTTACTTAGAGTGGTACCTCACTGTATCACACCATCGCATCATCCCACCTATAATTGATGTTGGGCCTTCAGATGCTTGGGTACCTGTTGATGGCGTGTCACCGCCGCCGCCTCATACAGTTGATGCCGATGACCAACATTGCCTCTAGATGATTGTAGTTATTATAAATAACCTCGTGGGTTTGGTAAACCCAAATGACGAGGTTTATACTGAATTATCTTGGGTTGCACATAAGCCTGTGGGAGTCTATTTCGACATCTTTTGTATATTATATTTGTATATTACTTAAATATCTTCATCATAACTTTTTATTAGATGATATTTTTTGATCTCCCATTGATATAACAACAACATAAACTAACATTTGACAATAGATTACATAACTTAAAAAACAATAATAAGTTAGAAAACCTAGATATTTCCCGATGGTTCTGAACGATTTATCATCTTAATTATGTCATCGACGGATCTTAAAATCTTAGCATTTAACTCGATCAATCCCTTTGTTATCTTAAGGTAAAATGATTTCCACATATCCTACACACCTTCATCGGTCTTCAACTCAATAAGGTTGTATTGCACCCTCTTGTCAATATTAATCCAATTTTTACGAAACTCGATATTTGTCACTTTTCTGTTTTCGGCATCAGACAACAATTCATTCAACTTCGACGTCAGGCCGACGAGAAATGTGGTGCCATCCGAGAGCCAGACCTCTACGGGATGTGGAGCTCCATTGAAGTACACTTCTAATTTAATCAAAAATTGAGGAAGAGACATTTTTTGAGATATTTTTAAACAACCGGTGACTCCCCCATTTATACAACTTTACATTTACTCTAGACCACATAAAATTTTAAGTGCAATCACAGCCATTCAAAATTATCGACAAAATCCTGAACATTTAAAATTTTAAACAAATAACACTATTAAAAATTTTAATTTAGTTGAAATTTTCGATATCAAATAAAAGAATTTCAAATTTCTAAAATTAATTGAACATTATGAAAATTGTAAAATTTCTGATATATCAAAATTTTACAACATACTATTAAAAACTTTATTTGTACCGAAAATTTTATTATGGCCTACTAGGGCTGGCAATGAACCAAAACAACTCGAAAATAGTTTGGAATTCGATTCGACAATTAAATCGTTGAACTAGGTTCATGAACCAAATGAGTTGATTATGAGCGAAAAATTAAGTTCGTTAACTAAATGAGCTGAACTTGAACTATACATAGTTCGACTCGTTAGGTTCATGAGTCAACTCGATTACATATGAGAAGAATTATACTGTCTTTAAGATTAGGTTTAAATATTTACTCCAAATCTTAGACAAATTTAATCTTCAATTTAGTAGTTTTTTAATTAGACTCTCAAATGTATCTCTTGAAAATTGTGTAGGTTTTGAATTAGTAGATTTCGAAGATAAAGTTAAATTTCAATATGATAACTTTTATTTTATTTTAATATTTTATTTTAAAAAAATATATTTATTTAGAATGTCAAATATACTAAAAAATATATATATTTAAAAAAATAGTTTTTAAGTCTGTGAATCATATGAGCTGAACCTAATGAGATGAACCTAACGAGTCGAACCGAACTGTTCGTGAACTTATAACGAGTCGAGTTTGAACTTAAAAAAAAATTCGTGTCGAACTCGAACTCGAACAATTCTTAACGAGTCGAACCGAGCTGAGGTGAGTTCGACTCGACTTGACTCATTTCCAGCCCTATAGCCTACCAAAAATTTAAAACCTAAATTTTATTCATTTGTCGGTCAGTAAAATTTTGGCAATTTAATACTATGACAGGGTGTTACATATAATTGGGGTGGGAAGTTAAAATCTCTGTTTGAAGCAACCCAAAGCCACAAACCCAACATCTATATGCCTATATATAAACCCATTTTACTAACATACTGTTCTTTCTCTTTCACACAATCAGTCTCAAATTCGCGGAGTGAAGAGAGCTCGCAGATTAGATTAGTGATTTAGGGTTAGGGTTTATCAAATTTAATCTTCATCTTTTTCTTAACTCCAATGCTACCGATAATGGATCCCACCAAAAAGCGCAAGCTTGACGAGAACGGATTCGGCGGCGAAGCTGATCACCTAAAGCTCTCCCCGTCGGAAGCTCGCAAGGTAATCGAGCGCTTCACACCCGACCAGCTAATTAACATCCTCCAAGACGCCGTCATTCGCCATCCCGACGTTCTCTCCGCCGTCCGGGCAATAGCTGACACCGATATCTCCCAACGCAAGCTTTTCATCCGCGGCCTCGGCTGGGACACCACCACCGACGGCCTCCGCTCCCTCTTTTCAACTTTTGGTGAACTTGAAGAAGCCATTGTAATCGTCGACAAGGCCACCGGTAAGTCCAAGGGTTATGGCTTTGTCACCTTCAGCCATGTGGACGGGGCTCTACTAGCTCTTCGTGAGCCTAGCAAGCGCATCGATGGACGTGTAACTGTCACACAACTTGCTGCAGCAGGCAATTCGGGTTCTAACACCAACACCGCAGATATTGCGCAACGGAAAATATATGTATCGAACGTGCCACCTGATCTTGCAGGAGATAAGCTTTTAGCCCACTTCTCACTGTATGGGGAGATCGAGGAAGGTCCATTAGGCTTTGATAAACAGACAGGAAGGTCGAAAGGGTTTGCTCTTTTTGTGTACAAGACACCTGAAGGGGCACAGGCTGCGCTATTGGAGCCAGTGAAGAATGTAGAGGGGCGGCAGTTAAATTGCAAGCTGGCAATAACAGATGGGAAGCAGCAACGTGGTGGGCCAGACGGTGTCCAGGCTCGTGGGAATACCCATGGAAATGGAATGGGGATGGCTCCGGCAGCTGGGCCTGGGCCGGGTCAATACGGTGGCTCTGCTAATATGGGTCCTTATGGAGGGTTTTCCAGTGGGCATCATGGTCAGCCTCCAATGGGTAACCATCCTCTGAATTCGTCAGTTGGTGGTGGGTTGTCTTCTGTTGGGAGCCAGGCCCAGTCTTCGGTGGGTGGTGCTGGTGGGTATGGTAGCGGTCATTATGGAGGTTATGGAGGACCTACAGCGACAGGTTATGGTGGCAGTGGCGGCAGCGGTTATGGAGGAGGTAGTGGTGGGACTGGTGCAGGTGCTGGTGGTGTACTTGGTTCTACTGGAGGTAATGTTGGGCTTTCTTCTTTGTACAGATTACCAAGTTCAGGTGGAATGCAAGCTGGAGGATATCCTGACAGCGGTCACTATAATTCATCAGGTTATCAGAATCAGCATCTTCCTCCTGCTGGGGCGTCGCCAGTACCAAGGGTTCAACCTGGTTCCATGTATCCAAATGGGCCCTCTTACTACTAAGGTAATTTGAATTGTTTGGTTTGTAAAACATTCTGTTTAGGTCAATTATTGTTTTAAGTTATATGTTTTCCTTTTCATAGTTTTTGTTCTTCTGTTAGAGTGTTTCTTTGTTTTCTTAATAGTATTGTTTGGTATATTATCACTTGCGTTGTGTTTAGTAACTGTAGTTCTATTCATCTGTGATGTTTGTAGTTTTATTCATTTGTGAGGTTTGAGGTCTAAATAGTATAGTCTTGTAGTTCAAAATCTGCTTCACATGTCTTTTCTATGTTATGAGTTTTCTTTAGTCATGGTTTTGTATTGTCTTTGCTGTCTTGTCATTTAAATTATTCTAGATGTACGATTAACTATGTTGTTTGTGGTGTTTCTTTCATTCTTTTGATCGGTGTCTTCATTTAATTGTCACCTTTTTTGACCTCTTTGCTTGTCATCTTGTAAAATAGTTATATTTATTGAATTGGATATACCTGTTTGCTTGTGGTGTTGTTGGAGATTGCAGCTGATCTGTGGCTTTTTATACACATTTGATAATGCAACATTAGCTAGATAAGTCCTTAATTGAAGTTGTTAATAGTGAATTTGTGATGGGTACCCTTTCAGTATGGAATGTATTGTGTCACAGATTTTCTAAAAACTATTGACTTGGTTGTATTTTTGTTATATTTTTCTTGACTGCAACCTGTTTTGTTACTTTCTCCGTCAACTCATTATGTATTGCATACCAACTTAGTAATTTAGAATTGTGAGGAAACTCTCGCTCATTAGAAAAGCCGCATGCCATAAAATCCAAGGTTCCGTTTATTTTGCGAAAACATTTTCTATTTTTATTTTCTAAAATGTGTATTTGTTTTAACTTGCTAATAAAATATAACACTATGAACTATTGGGATGGAGAGAGCATAAAATGCTAGATGCAATTTGGAAATAAAGAAAACAGCACTTTTGACATTTTTTTGTTTCAAAAAACTGTACTCAATTATATCCACTTAAAGAGTCTATTACGTTCTTGTTAGCAAATAAAATTATCATAAATTTTAAAAATAAAAAATAGAAAAGGTTTTACAATATAAACGGGGCCTAAAATTTTGCTATTACTTGTTAAAACGTTGAGTTTATCTGTTGTTTAGTGCTCATTCAACATTTAACATGTTTTGTTCTGCGACTGTCTTTCTGGTTCTTAATCACATTGATACTTATCTGAGAGCGGTCTCTATGATTTTACTTGTTATCTTCGGATTCCCTGCTTTTGTGGTTTCCACCTCCTTGCCTGTATAGTTTAATATCTGGTGTGTTTTGTTTGTTTTTCAACTACGCCGTTATAATTTCCAAGTTGCTGCGTTTCTTATTCTTCGCTTGAAATTTTCTTCAAAATTGTATTTTTGGTTGTGCCTGTATGAATGGACGAGCAATGACTCTGTTCTCATTGACTATGCGCTTTTACATTATATGTTCTATGAAAGATTGTTGTGAAATGATGAATTGAGTTGAATGGGTGTTTGATTCAGGTGTATCATCGCTTGTTGGGCGCCGATCTTTGTGTGCTTCTGGTGATTACGTTGTTATTGCAGACTATGTGCTCTGGTGTAGTGATTGTGTTAGCTTGTCCTTTTTCATCATGTTGATTTCACCTTCTCTCCTTTTAAGCTTGTTCCATGTGCTGTTAGTTAAAAACTATTGAGATAGAGATTTGTACTTTTAGCCAGATTACTTTTGCTAGTTTGTACTTGTAGCCAGATTACTTTTGCTAGTTTGTACTTGGTTACATTTTCTTGGGTTATCAATAATTTCTTCTGGAGTTATATATGTTTTATGCCCCTTATTTGATGATGCACCTGAAGAATTCTGTCCAATACAAGATGGATTATATGGGTGTCATTTTTATTTCCTTTGTTTCTCCCTTTACCGAGGAACTCCAATAAGTTATTGCAGCATTGTTTAACTTTATCGACTTGCACTGTATGAATTTATTGCAAACAACTTGTGTTGGGTGGAAGCACGATTCCATAGTCACTTGAATAGATTTTGGGTATTGTTTTCATTGGAAGATGGTAGTTTGTGGCATATGCACTTTAACAACACTAGTTGTTGATACTCTTTTTGTGGAGTTGGTTAACGGAAGATAGTTGTGTAATTGTATATTCAAATAAATTGATGTTATTTTTTTGAATCAAATGGGATTTAGTTTGTTTTGCTTGTTTGTGAGGCAGAGAAGGCCTTTTGCATCAATTACTATTTTATCCTGAGATTGTTGTTTGCATTTGAAGACTAACTGAATGAGTAAAATAATGTGCATTGCTTAATTATGGCCTTTCATTTTTGTTTTCTTTTATACCCTCGTCTCCCCCATCTATAGAATAATTCAATGATTAGTCATATGAAATTTGTTAGATACTATGCTTTATTACACCTTTTCTTTGTTGGGTGTATTATAGTATGAATTTGACTTGCATGTTTTTTGGATTTTTCGTTCTTTCGGGTTAATATCATACTACATCTAGTCTGATTCTGCATGCTGTGATTCTTTTAGATTGTTGGTATTTAATTTTTTTTTGTTCTCCACAATTTAGTTGCATCATTTTTCATTATGGGTCAAATTTTGAATCTAATAATATATTTGTTTCTCCTTAAAAAATAATTCAGGTCAAAATCCTTGCGAATTCATATTCTTAAAGCTTTAGTGTATATGTCCATTAACTCTTGTTGTAACACTCTACTTTTCATGATTTTGCCATACTCTAAGTATACAGTAGGGAAATACTGTGATGCTTAGAAAAAAGTATTATGAGGCCTACTTTAGTGTTGTGTTTTTGAGAATAGGTAAATTTGTTTTGAACCTTTGGATGCGTTTTTTTTATCCTTTAAATTTTATTGACGACTGCTGTATGAAATCAGACCAGATCTTTGTTGCGTTCCATCAATTTGTTTCTTCACTAGTGCAAAAAAGGTATTCGGAGATCCTTCTTCTTAACCAGTTACCATGAAGTTTGTTTTAAAAACATGTCTTCAGGAATATGGCGGCTCTAGTAGAATAGAGAATCTTTCATAAGATGGCTGGGTGGGTAACTCTTTTTCACACTGCCCCTTCTATTTAAGCCTTGCAATGCTTGTATATATGTCTCAAGTTGGTAATAAGATAAATAGTTAACTTTATTTTTGGTCAATTATTTGATAACGATTTAAACGAATGAATACAATTCTTAGATTGGGACTGCTTCATAATTGACTTCTAGTCACCGACAGTTTATCAGAAATGTTACTGTTTGGTTTAGGATTCTAGGCAAGGTTTCTTATTTGCTTATTACAGTTAGGAAGTAGTTTTTGATCAATCAATAATTTAGCTAATTAGTGTATCTTATGGTTATGTTTTGTAAAATAAAGTCTTATGTACTTGATAATAATCAAAACTTGTTCTGAACTCAAGGTTGTGATCATTTCAAAATTTAGTTTATCATTATAAGTTTTACTGAAATGATATTGAGAATTGAAGTTATGCAATTTTGAATGTATGGTAACGTGGTTACATTATGTCATGATTGTTTACTCTATGGAGGTGGGAAAATAAACTCCATTCCGCCACTGAGGTGAGAAAGATGGGGAATTTATTTTTCTTACACAATTTATCATCTAGAGAGTTGGTGTGTTTAATAAGGAAATCAAGAGTCAAATCCAAAGAGGGAATGGGAATAGATGGAGTTGATATGTGGGGTCAATTGTCTCAAATCTGAATTACACCTTAAAAGGAGGAATTCATTCTCCAAAACTAGTGGCCAAGAGTTAGAGTTATAAAACGGGTTGAAGACCATCATTATTTCAATGTTCATCTACTATCTTAGAATATTACTTTGTATAAACATGTCTTTTGATATTTTTAGCTTCACTTAATGTATTAGATAAGAAAAACTCTAGTACACTAGACATTAAATATTTGCATAAACTTGTTTATAAATATGTTCAATGCAAGGAATAAAAATCTTAATACAACATAACGTTACTTAAGTTTAGCTCTCAATAAACATAATAAATCATAGAAATGAATATCGTATTTTAACTCATTACAACTGCAAATAAATCAAGCAACAATGAATCTTAAATACTAGTAAAGGTATTCACCTATTGATTTGTCGATGCACACGTTCTGTTTTTTTTCAATTATTACATCTTTGCTTCTTGGAAAGCAATGGATGAATGGTTGAAGATGCGGAGATGAAAATTGAAAGGGGAAATAAGGGAACAATGGCATAGAAATCAGATAGGATAGAGAAATTTTACTTTATTTCCTTAAATGTATAGTTTATGCTCCATCTTAGTTAAATAAGCCCACACTAAAAGAGTTAAGGTAGTACAAAAGGTCTAAAAAGGTAAATAACATTCTAGGAGAAAGACCACACCTTTGTTGTTTAGCGCACACTCTTAATACCAACGAAATACTCACTTTTGGTTTCAATTCAGAATGAAAATACTTGGGAATTTCTCTCTAAACCCTATGGAGTGTTTTCCCACAACGGTGAAAAGTCACAATTGTCCTTAGAATTTAGAGATGTATATTTGAATGCATTTTTTTAAAACTCTTGAGCACAAATTGGTTTACCATTTATATTTTGTCAAAATTTTGTTCGGAGATGTATCTTCATGTCATCAGGGTCTGTATTAACATTAGTGAGTCCTGAGATACATTTTTATATCAACCCTGTGACACATTTAATTTATATACTGTGTCAGATCCTTCTCCATTTCTTCTTCATTTGCTGCAAACTTGCTAAAACCTCATTTGAACTCGTGAGTAAGTTTTTCAAGTCCATTTTAAGGTTTAACACTATTAGTGTTTCACTACATTCATTTTGTCATTCCACTAACTTCATTCGAGCTTCTCATCCATAACTTTCATTTGATAAGTTATTTATTTATAAATTCGGTGAATGTAGTAGGTAAAAAATGTGGTTTAAGATGCATTATATAGTAGTTACATTCAAAATATGCATTCCCATTTGGTTGGGGTTTAG